CACTTTCCAAGCAAATATCGTCCCTTCTTTTTCTTTTTAAAGCTTATAAACACAGCATTGTGTCTGCATCAATACAAAATGGTTCATCTACATTTGCAAATAAGTTTCAAGCTCTGGTTGAAATTAACTAGGATTAGCAGTACCATTTCTACATATGTGATATTTATTTATTTATTTGAAATATTTCTAGATTGCTTTCCAGTCCATAAGAGCTCTTAAGGTGATGAACAAGGAAAAACAATTAGAATCACAGAGCCGGAAGAGATTACAATGGCCATCCAGTCCACCCCCCTGCCTTGCAGGAAAATAGAATCAAAGCATCCCTGTCAGATGGCCATCCAGCCTCTGCTTTAAAACCTCCAGAGATGAAGACTCCACCATACTTCATGGTTCCATTGCCGAACAGCTCTTACCATCAGGAAGTTCTTCCTAATGTTTAGGGTGAATAGTTTTTGTTGCAATTTGGATCCATTGCTTTGTGTCCTAGTCTCCAGAGCAGCAGAGAACAAGCTTGTCCCCTCCTCAAGGTGACATTCTTTCAGATATTTAAACATGGCCATCACGTCCCCTCTCAGCCTTCTTTTCTCCAAGCTAAACATGCCTAGCTCCCTCAGCTGTTCCTCACAGGACTTGGGTTTCCAAACCTTTAATCATTTTGGTCATCCTAAATAATTGAAACATTGCATAGATAAAGTGTTTTTAAAAAACAAACATGAAATGACTCTAAAAACTTTGGAAGCAGCCTAAGTCTAAAGAACAACCATAAAATGCAATTAGAAAACAGTTAACATGAAAAAAAAGTCAAACGTTGAAGGCTGTGGGGAACATTACTCTTTTGTCTGCTCAAAAAGAGATAGAGCTTGCCCAACTTCTTTGGGCAGGGAGTTCCATAGGCAGAGTGTTGCCACAGGGAAACTCAATTATGTGTACATGATTACCTTTCACAAGATGTTGGAACCTGCAATAAGGCTTCCTCTGAGATTTTCAAATTTTAGACAGGCTTACTTTCAATATGCTGGTCTCAAGCCATTTAGAATCGGTATTGCTAAGAAAACCCCATTAAGGCGATTGCCTTGGGTTCCACCATAAATCAGAAATAACTTTAAAGCACAGAATAGCAACAACAAACCCATCCCAATGAGTCAGGACATCCACAGTCTTCTTGGCATCAGTTATAATTAAGAGATAGAGTTTCATCAGTGTACTGATGACACACAACTCACAATTCTGAATAATATTTTCCAACAGCTTCATGTAGATATTTTAAAAGTGTATGGCCCTTTATTGACCGTTGTGGGACCTCACAGGTTAATGGTCCAAAGTCTGAACTAGAATTCAAATTGCACTGAAAGATCAAGGAGACTAACAGATCCATCCTCACTCCATCCAACTCCCAGTATAGGTCAACCACTAAGAAAAGAGGGTTCCTTGCATGAAGAGGAAAACAACACAGGTCCAAGAGATTGTTGCATTGTGTGAATTTTTGAAACAGGATTATAAAAGCAGTACCATTTCTTCTGTTTGTAGAAACTAGTTCTCTGCATCTCAGAGTCTAGAATAAAGAATGCCCTTTTGTCTAGAGTTTCTTTTACAAGATAATCCTGATAACATTTTCTTTGTTTCTAAAAGATACTCAAACATGAAAGAATACATAACAAGGATGAGTCTCCTTCCCACCTAGTAAATGTTTGAAAGAATGTAATGATGTCAGCTAACTTGTACTGCAAGAACCTTTTGCCCCTTGCTTGTTTAGTTTAAGCTTTGGACACTATTGACACATGTACAGGAATTGTGGTAAATGTGAGACCTTTGAAAAATTACTTTTTTGGATTATAGTCACAGCAAGTATGGCAAATGGTAAGGAATTATGAGACTTGTGTTCCAAAAGATCTGGGGTCCTAAATCTTCTCTGTTTCAGATTTGAAGACAAAAAACTACGAGTCCTTTCAGCATTAACAAGGAGGGGAAATTAAAATATTATGTACAGAAACAATTTGTAAAGTGTTGCTAAAGGGAATAGTTGAAATAAGTACCACCAGATGTCACCATTGTTGTGACTGATTCAAAAATGTTACAACCTACAGCATGAAAGAACTATACAGATAATTATTGTTCACTAGCCGTCCCCTGCCACACGTTGCTGTGGCCCCAGTCTAGTGATCTGGAAAATAAAGTAATGAGAAAGTGTTGATTTCTAATATATGTAATTTCTTTATGCTTGGGGGTAAACATTATTTCGTGTTGTTTCTTTGTCAGTGTTGATGTGGAGATTGTCTGGTTTGCCTACTCTGGAACAGGCAACATATAATTGTCCTTCTTTAGAGGTCCCTTTCAAATCTATGATACTATATATGTGTCTGTGTGTGTGTGTGTGAATCATATCTATCTAGATCTATGACTGGATGGCTCTTTGTCAGGAGAGCTTTGATTACATTTTCTTGCCCTGGTGAAGGGAGTTGGACTGGGTAGCCTTAAGTGTTTTCTGTTGGTCATGGGGGTTCTGTGTGGGGAGTTTTGCCCAATTCTGTCGTTGGTGGGGTTCAGAATGCTCACTGATTGTAGGTGAATTATAAATCCCAGCAACTATAACTCCCAAATGTCAAGGTCTATTTCCTCCAAATGCTAGCTGTGTTCATATTTGGGCATATGGAATATTCGTGCCAAGTTTGGTCTAGATCTATCTTTGTTTGAGTCCATAGTACTCTCTGGATGTAGGCGAACTACAACTCTCAAACTCAAGGTCAGTGCCCACCAAACCCTTCTAGTGTTTTCTGTTGGGTCATGGGAGTCCTGTGTGGCACATTGGGTTCAATTCCATCATTGGTGGAGTTCAGAATGCTCTTTGAGTGTAGGTGAACTATACTCAAAGGGTTGAGTGGTGCTCACTACTTGGGTTAGTAGGTGTCTTGTATTTGGCGGCAATTTGTCCAGTGGTTTTTGAGTTATGTTAATCCCACAAACAAACATTACATTTTATTTATATAGATGTAAACTTAAGACAACAAAAGCAGCAGAATATTATCAGGCCTGTCTGGTTATAAAGTTGTCAACTGAAATACCATGTAGATGCTGTAGTCCTAAACACGCTTTTTGGTACTAAATACTTTTGAACTCATTAGCACTTTCTTTCATGAAAGTTGCAAATAGCATTGGATTCTTTGAATACTATTTTGCCATTTGAAAAATCCTACAAAAGACTATATAAATATAATATAAAATTGGTGACATTAAATTTCTGTCTCCCACTTCTAGGCTAACAATACTTCAGGTTGGGCTGTTTCTTCTGGCACTGTTGTTACATTTGTTGGAACACTTCATGACTGTAGTAGTTCTTGTGTGTGATTTTATTTGATTAATCCCAGTTTCACTGTAAGCTATTTGACATGGTAGCATATCTGACAGTACACTAGAATTAGAATGTATAACTTTATTCCTTATAATCAAAGCATGCACTCTATGTATTTTTATAACTGACATATCTTTTGTACCTCGACATCAAGCAAAGCAAACTGATAAAGGTCTTTAAAAAATTCCCACTGAACTATGAAACACCTAGGGTGGCCTAAGGCTAGTTTCTCCATCCCTCAGTTGGACTTAATCTTCAAGGATTGTTTTTGGAATAAATGTTGAATTCATTCAAGTGATGGGTCCATCTAGTGATGAAAAAAGCACAGTCTAACTAATTAATGCATTATTATGTACTAAAACACTAGTCCTATCTCGGTGTCACCTTTGATCGAACACTAAAATTCAGGAAATACTGTATGAACACCAAGCACAAAGTAGCTGCTTGAAATAACATCCTGCGGAAACTGACTGGCAACACATGGGGTGCAGACCCCAAATTAATAAGAAAATCAGCTCTGGCCTTGTCTTATTCAACTGCTGAGTATGCCTGCCCTGCTTGGAACAAGTCTGTCCATGTGAAGCAGATGAATATAGCACTGAATAAAACATGTAGAATAATGACAGAATGTCTCGAACCCACACCTGTTGATAGACTCTGTAAGCTAGCTGGCATTGCCCCCCCCCCCAAAATGTGCAACGGAAGTTGCTACTAACTGGGAGAGAAATAAGGTTCAACCTTGTGAAAGCCATCCACTGCATGTCTATCAGCTTCTTCCCATTAGACTTAAATCAAGAAAAAGCTTCATGAAAACCACCACCCCTCTTAATGTTCCCTCAGCAACAACAAGAATCCTCCACCTTGTGTAACTGTGGAGCAAAACAAACAACTCCGCATCTGTATGCATGCCCACAATGCACTGCCTCATGCACAGAGGAAGAATTGTTTAAAGCCACAGACGATGCAGTCTCTGTTGCCTGTTTTTGGTCAAAAATTATTTAGCCATGTGTGCTCCCTTTATTTTTATCAGTTTTATACTTATTTATGCAATGCCTTTGACACTAAATAAACTAGTCCTAAGTGCATTTATATGAAAGTAAGCCCTTATTGGACACAATGGATGCATTCTCACAAGACAGGGATTTCAGAAATCCTCACTTTTTCTCTCATGTAAACACATACAGTGAATAAATATATAGAGAAATGCAGTGGAAGATATGTAGGAGTATTTTTAAAGTTAAAAGGAGAATGTTAACTTGATGAGCAATATAAGGGTGGCATACATTGCTTAGTGAACAATCCAGAATTTGGCAGCACCACATGAAACAATGAGAGGATTGTTATCTACAGAAGTCAGTTCTTATGATTGAAAGCAACCTTACATTCAGAAGGAAATGTGTTTGTGATGTGAGCACCTGTTTCCTAGAAGGTGTCTATGATGTCAACAACTCTCTGTGATGGGGCTGAATTATCAAGTAACAATATATATATATATATGTATGTATGTATGTATGTATGTATATAATCTAAATAATGGTAAATAATCTAAATGTAGCAAAATAAATTGTCTTCTTCAGAGTTGAGTACATCTGGCTGTTGAGATGATTCTCAATACAAACTAATAATAAATATACTACTTTAATTGTCATTACAGGTGCTTTTAATGCTGAAGAAAGCTATGAGTTGTGCTTCTGCCTTTGCTGTCTCTCCGTTATGGAGGAGCACCTGTAGAGTTCTTCCCAGTTGTTCTTCCTTCTTACATCTAAGATATGCAACTTCGTCTTATTGCACTGTAAATGGGTAAGGTATTTACACCTTTTCATTGTGAATGTTGAGAGAAATGGAAAAGTTCACTTAATTGTTGTTGGGAGGGGGCTGGTAGCCATGTAGTGGATGGCTTTCATAGTGTTCAACTATATTTCCCTCACATTTAGCACATTAACTTCCCCTCGCACATAGCGGGGGAGGGGGGCGGGGGACGGGACGGGACAATGCCAGCTAGCTTGTAGAGTTTATCAACAGGTGTAGGTTTAAGACATCCTGTGATTATTCTGCATGCTTCATTCAATGCTATGTTCACCTGCTTTGCATGGGCAGACCTATGCCAAACAGGGCAGGCATACTCGGCAGTTGAGTAAGACAAGGCTAGGGCTGATGTTCTTACTAATTTTGGGTCTGCACCCCATGTGCTGCCAGTAAGTTTCTGTAGGATGTTATTGCATGCAACTACTTTGTGCTTGGTGTTCAAGCAATCTGCCATTGAAGGCCAGTCTACCCCTCTCCCTTCCCCTCCAAAATAGGCAAACCAAGCTAATACAGTATTTTTGCAAAACCTTCACAGTACACACAATTAACAAATAATGTCAGTAAAATTAACTAAAATTGCCAACTATTGTCTCCAAATTATGCATGTAAGACTTAGTTTCTGGTGCTGTAACTACTATCTATATCAGAAGAACACATCAAAATGTCTGAGGACATGGATTATAATGCTTTGTATATGTTTAACTCAACTTGAAATTTCTAGTATAACTTTGAATCCTAGACCGATGGTACAAAGCATTGCATGCCCATGTTCTCTCTTTGTTGGCTTATTTTTGGAAGTTGTGGTGGGGTGAAATGAATGTTATATGTTACAACAATGCTGTTCTACTTTTATCTTTAAAATTATTGTGTGCCCCCCCCTCCAAGATTAGGGGTCAGTGGGTTCGTTTTTTAAATAGGTCTTTATAATGATTTACTCTGAAGAGTGTGATTCAGTAATTACAACTCTCAATTTGTGTTTTATTTAAAGCAAAATGAAATCCAAGTCGGATCATCTGGAGAGAACAGCTAATGACTTTCGACAGGAGGTTGGTATTGTGCAGTTCAGACTTACAATGTGATGTATGTGGTGAAGAGACCCAATGAATTTTATCGGGTTGGCTGCAAAATGAAATGTCATTGAAAGAATAACTGGGTGGTACTGAAATAAAAAGTACAGTAAACTATTATCAACATGCTTCTCTCCTTTCTCCGGTTTCTCCCATGCCTCAGTTTCTTCCACCTGTCCCCACCTGCCACCTCACTGGTGCTTCATGCCATTTTTAATAGACACCTGTAATGGAACTATATAAGCTCCTTTTGTTAGGCTGTCTCACCCACAGTTTGATAATAGTCACTTTTCTGTTAGTTTTATGAGGGTGAAGCTTAAGAAAACCCTTTGGTTTAGATCAGTAAGTTTTCCTGCCCCTTTGCCTAGGGAAAAAGAGCTATCTTTAGTTTAGGGTTATTACCACCAGGGAATCTTGGAAGCAAGACGTGTCTGTAGTTGGTCCCAGCGAGACCCAGGTTTGGACAAGTCATTTCAAGCCTGGGTCTCTGAGTAATCTGGGAACTCATCCAGCTATACTGGCTTAAAGCTGGTCATTGACAGTCTGTGGAGTTTCCAGCGCCTTCAGAAAGGTGCCAGGCCTAAATAGGAGGGACTTGTTCTCTCTACCTCTGGTCTGATCGCATTGGGCATTGAGTGCCCTGAGTGAGCAGAGAAAGTCCCTAGAATCATCCATAATCAACAACTTCAAGAACAACCAGTTGCCTTCAAACTTTAAGTTTAGACTTTGTTGTGGGGAAATTAAGATCGTGCCTGGGTGGAGATAGACCCAAGACCAATTAATAAATCATTACCGTTTCTTGAAAGCAATAGCATGGACATTGATTCTGTGGGCTTCCTTGCTCAAACAGGAAGGCAATCCATCATTCCCCCAAGCTAATAGAAAGTCAGGACACATTAACACTAAAGACATTTAAAGCAACTTGGGTGCAACAGCATAGCGCCTACAAGCCTCATTGACCACTCAGCCTTGCAAGGCTTGCAGTCTGTATTAAAAATGGCGTACAGCAGTAGCACATAATCTTCAAATAAGCTTATTTGTGAATAATCAAATTTGTGAAAGTTAAACTCAGAAATATGACTGCACATAAAGGAATACATTTGTTGTAGTCTTTCTTTCTTTCTTCCTACCTTATAGGAGAGCAGAGAGAAGCAGCTATGTTCATAAAATACTACAATGATTTATTACTTTTCATGTCTTAAAATGCAACTGAAACAACAAATCAAATTAATTCAGTTCTCAGTGTGCAGCAGTGTCAGAATTTCTTTAGTCACATAGTGATAGGGTATAGTCTTTTCTAAATGTGACAACTTGTAGTTGAAGCCTTCTGGAAAACAAGCCTGTATGTTCTGCAGAAAACATTCTTTCATGTTCTTCAAAAGGCACAGAGAGTAACTGGATGTGATAAAGTTCCCCTGAACTTTGTAATTGTCTTGGGACCCTTCCACACTGCCCTTTGTCCCAGGATCTGCCCTTTATCCCAGGATCTTTAAAGTGGAATATATGAGTCCCCACTGCCAGATAACATGGATAAACATATACTCTGGAATCAGATCCTGGGATAAAAGGACAGCGTGGAAGGGCCCTTGGATGGAGTGCAGAAAGAAATTTCTGTTGCTGTTTTTGTGGCACATAGCAATCTAATCACCAAATGTACATTAGGATATAAATTCTAGTGACATTAATGTGGTAATTGGCTTTATTTGCAAAATATCTTATCTGAAAAGTAAGAGGAAAATAAGTTAGAGTAGGCAGAGGAATCAGATACCTCTGTTCTTTTTTTTAGACCACATAGATTAAATCTCTTTCCTATAACCACTTCATATGCAGGATCTAGTAAAACTTGAAGCATTTCTGTCCTCAGATTAGGTCATAGGTTAATGTGTACAGGACAAGGCTAACTGGTGTATTCATTTCCTATCCTGGGGCCTCTGCACTAGGAATAACATTTAACAAGTACCTTGAAGTCAGTAGACTATTTAACTAGGATAACACACTCTCTCTCCGCACTGTGTTGTAAAATTACAAAAAACCTGCTAGCATTTATTTGGCAAGTGTCCTGTTGTTTTACTGGACAATAGACATGTTCAAATATTTTTATGGAGAAATTCATTTCCTGCCATATGTTTTAAATTAAAGTGTAGCTGGTTAAATTTCATTTGTTGGACGCCGGCCTTTCTAGATGGGAAATGACACAGTCATAGCACTAGTTGAAATTGCAGTATATACTTAAAAAAATCTCTTTACTTTTGGACCTTCATGAATTTTCTTAAATTTGTTTATAATGTTCTGCAACAAATTGGATGAACGTAATTCATGTAAGTCAGGAAAAATGCAAAAGAGTTGGAAATCATTTTTTAGTCATGGACAACCTAGATGTAGTATTTATTAGATAGATTATTGTGGTATGAGAGATTTTTGGCTAGGACAGATTTAGGTTCAGATTTCTACTCAGCCATAAAACCTGTCACCATATTTCAGGTTTTATGTCACCATATTTCAGCCTAATTTACCACATAAGATCGCTGTGAGGATAATTATTTTTGTATTATGTTTTTGTATAATCCTCTGCGCATCTTTGAGGAAAGGCAAGATAAAAATTATTTATTTATTTGTTTATTTATTTATTTATTGTTATCTACTGCATTTTTACCCCACTCTATCTCAACCCAAAAGGGGACTCAGAGCGGCTTCCAAATTGGCAACAGTTCAATGCCACAATAAACATAAGCATACAAATACAATATACATTATACATTGAAATCAATAAAAATCATAAAATCACAACAATCAATACATTAAACAAACTATTAAAAATACAAAGACCCAAAATCGTAATCCAGGAGCCATTCTAATCATATTTCAATCATGTTGTAGCTGCCTTTTGCACTGTGCTACTCTCCAAATGTTTGGTTCCACAGCCAGGTTTTAAGTTTCTTTGTCAAGGCCAGGAGGGAGGGAGGCAATCTAATTTCACTGAGAAGGGAGTTCTACAGCTGAGGGACCACCACTGAGAAAGGCCTGTCCCTAACCGCGCCTGTAAAGGAGGTGGGACTGAGGGCAGGGCCTCCTCAAAAGATCTTAGCATTTGGGCTGGTTCATAGGGGGAGGTATGTTTGGACAGGTAAGCTGGGCCAGAACCATTTAGGTCTTTATAGGCTAATGCTATCACTTTGAATTGTGCTCGGTAGCAAATCGGCAGCCAGTGGAGCTGACGCAGCAGGGGGGTTGTATGCTCCCTGTACACTGCTCTGGTGAGCAATCTGACTGCTGCCCATTGGACTACTTGAAGCTTCCGAACAGTCTTCAAAGGCAATCCCACATAGAGTGTGTTGCAGTAGTCTGTTTGAGATGCAACATTGTTACATTAACATTGTTATTCCCCTTTGTTTCAAAAAATAGTGTTATAGTTGATTTTTAGAAAGTTTTCTTGGCTCAAAGTAGAAAAATGAAATGTCCAGTCCTTGGGAATAAAAGAACTAAGGCGTAATCCTAAAGAGAGTCAAGACTGAGCCTCACTGTCCATAGCGAGGCCTATATATGCATAGCACTGAATAATATATCAACGTATAGTAGCAGAATCAGCTAGTTGAATCAATTCAGCATTGGTAAAACATTTTTGGAAGGAGGTTTCTACATATCTGTTAAGGTTTCAGTTTCCTGAAGCATAAATAATTATGATAATATTTCATTTTTTTGTTTTTAGATTATTTCTAAAGCCAAAGTGTGTGGAATCACCAGTGAATCTGAAACAGTTAAAAGGCTTCGTTTGGCTGTCACAAATAAAGAATTTACTTTTAAAGCAGGACAATGGTAAGGTTCCTTGCTCTGGGTATATTATATAGAGGGACAAGACAAACTTAAATTGATGATACAGTTATAGAAATAACTTCAAGCAGTCTGCTTCTTTCAAATGCACACTGGACTGAAGACTTATAGTCTAGTTAGTTTTGTATAAAACAATTGGTAAAAGTGATTTGGGATCTTTTCACTGAATGCAAGATACTAACAAATGCTAAATATGTAAAATAAATCACATTTTTTTGGAATTGTCCAATTTGTAGCTTTTTTCCCCTTAAGAGTGTTGTATACAGAAATCCATTAGGCATAGTTTCATTTACACATTTCCTGCTCTGCTGAGTGCTGTACGTTTTTATTAAATATCTCCTGCTGAGTTGCAAAAGGACAAATGGGTGGCTTTGGTCTTCTGAGCCATGTCACTGGATTTTCCAAGTGAACATCGATTTCTCAAATGCCATTTTCATGAGCCACATGGGAACCTCTTTTGAAGGCGAAGGGGCTTTGAAAAACAGTTTGATTTGGCACATATGAATTCCAAAAGTACAAAGTCAGCCTTTTTTTACAGGGACTGTCTCAGCCATCTCTGTTTCCTTGCCATAGAGTTGGATCAAAAGGTACTTTCCTGCATGAGGTTTTACATCTTTCGCTAGAGCACTTTGTTAGCAAGATGAAACGAAATCCACACAAGCCATTTCATTTGCATAAGAGCTTCTGCAATGACTCACCTGACTTGAAGCATGAAAACTGCTATGCGATTATCCCTTAATATGACTGCAAAACCTTTAATGACCATTGGTAGAATAGGACTAATACATAGGGTCCTTCCTCCTCATGTGGGTTATATGTTGCATGCAACATCTCAGAATTTCATATTATAAGCAGTATTTGTAGGCGTTCTTTGTATTGTCTCAAAGTTCAAGTGTTTTTTCAAGGCTATACTAAATTCTATGCTGATAAATCCAGGATTCCTCCCCTGTTTTCCCCTTTTCTTTTCTGTCTATTGTCAGTCCATCTGGCAGCCAGGTTTTATAGGCACCAAACTTTTATTTGCTAGGATGTTAATAACACAAGTAACTAGCACAGTGTTAATTTTGCAGCCTTATACATTTAGAACAAGAAAACAAGATGTTGATTGCAATAATTCATGTTTGTGGAGCAATTTGCAGCAGCCTTTGCACATGTGCCCAGATGCATACTAAATTTGTGCTTGCTGGTTCTTGGAAAAACATTTACCCTTCAAAAATGTTTGGGTAATTATCATACTGAAAACTGGGTTCTCTAATTGTAATTACTCTTTTCATTATCTTCCCTTTTTAAAGTATTTTTATTCTGTTTGGCATGGTAACTTTCCTCTAAGTGCAGCTTGAAAGCCTGATTGTGTTCTAATGGGGGGTACTAAGTATTAGGCCACGAGAGAAAAAGGTTAATAGACCCACTTCTATAGTGAAGTGGCTGGGTTTCTCTTCCTGACGCAAACAAGCACCATTCTTTTCATTTGATTTGCACAATATAAAAGTCATTTCCCTCCACGGGCTAGCCGATTGTGTTCACATTTTGCCCATGCAAGATTTCTGCCATGACAGATGGCAACTCGACAGATTCTTCATAGTGGTTTCTATTATACAGTTGCTCTTGAGTATTTCTTGAGCAGTAGTTTGTAGAGGTGTTATTGTGACAGCACCCCCTCCCCCCAATTCTTCCTGCTGTTTTGTTTCAAAATTGGCTGTGGTTCTTCCCCCCCCGTGCTGGTATTGACTAACAATCATTCTCTTCATTCCTTTTAGGATTAAATAAATATCTTGAATGAAATTTCATTTTGGTAAACATTTTTTGACTGTTCAGTCTGTGATTCATTTTGAGGAGCTAGAGAAAGACTAGACAAAATAAAATCTGACTGATGGCACAGTGCCTGAGTAGATGACTCTTCCTTGTAATTAAGGGCTCAATTGAGACATCAAATGAAAGCTTTCTTTTTATTGTTGTTGTGTGTGTTTAAGTCTTTTTAAAATTTATGGCAACCTAAGATGGACTTAGTATCACATTTTTGTAAGATTTGCTCCTAGGTTGCTATTACCTTCCTCTGAGGCTTGGTGAACGAAATCCTATGCATGCTGCACATATCTTACTTGTAGTGCAAAAAAAAAAAAACCTGTGAAAGAACAATATAAAATTTAAATGAACAATTTTAACCAACGTAATCTTACCAATATTTCAGTGTGGACATACTTTTGGCAAATGAGATAGTCAAGTTAATTTAGGATTGTTTGTGTGTGTGTGTGCCTTCAAGTTGTTTCAGACTTAGGGCAACCCTAAGTCTAAAGTTTAGAGCAGGTCAATAACCTTAGAGGACATCATCTGGTCCGTGGGCCTTAGTGGTTACCTGGACAATTGAAAAATAAATAAAAAATCCCAAAAAAATTCAGAAGTGCATGCCTCATTCACAAAGATAGCTTTTAAGAATACTAAACAGTTTATTTATTTATTTATTTATCATATTTATATCCTGCCGTTCTCACCTCGGAGGGGACTCAAGGCGGTCTTACAGCAGGCAGCAATTTGATGTCATATACATATATATCAAATAAACAATTAGAATTAAAACCAGAATTATTAAAATAAACAATTAAAATCATGTCAACCAAAACATAGTCCAGGGCCGTTCCATTGTTCAATCACATTGCTTCATAGTCACTTATTGCACTGCTCTAATTGTCAAAAGCTTGGTCCCAAAGCCACATCTTAAGTTTCTTTTTTTCCTTGAAGGTCAGGGAAGAAGGGGCTGATCTGATCTCACTTGAGAGGGAGTTCCATAGTCATCACTGAGAAGACCCTGACTCTTATCCCTATCTGTCGTGCCTGCGAAGGTGGGATCGAGCGTAGGGCCTCCCCAGATGAACTTAATTGCCGAGATGGTTCATAGAGACCTTGAAATTATGATATTTAAAATTAAATTGTTTTGCCCATGGTCTTCTAGGAGCAGTATATCATCTTTTGTCTATCGTTTTTGCTAGAAGAAGATTCATCTGGGATTTTGGAGGTGTTAAAGCCCACAAGAAAAAAAAATGGGGGTGGAATAACATGTGGTCTAAAAGTCTCAGTTTGTCTATCCCTTAAAATATTTCCATTGAAACTTGTAGCTCAATCTCGCACAACAAAGATAAACAGAAATTAAGTTAGAGTCTCCTGGCAAATTTTAAAGTGATTGGGTAAGAGTTTTTGATATCCCGTAATTTTAAAAAGAGAATCAACCCCCACCCTGCCTTGCCCCCAAATTAGATGGCTGAAAGAGGCAGCTTTGGGCAGCGCCAAGGATGGATTTCTTTGTAAAAGGACTAATCCTATTCTACTAATTGTGCAGCTACCAACTGAAAGCCTTCCTAGTGGGCTTTGCATGCCTGCTCAGAAGTAATTCCCATTGTTTTCAGGGTGTAGTTCTCGATACGTGACTATGAGACTATAGTCTTGCTTAGCCAGACAAACATGGCTCAGGCTACGAATATAATTATGCAACAATAAGTTTTGTCAAAGTATAGATTTTAAATGTAAAGTATCTCAGCTTTCCTGGCGAATGAAAAATAGGCACATTGTATTAACCTCCACATTTTGGTAATACACTAGTAAGCTTAATGTAAGGAAAGGAAGCAGCCAACCCAATTAAAGTAAGTGAGAACTTTGGTGTTTACTTTCATGAAATAAATAAATTGAGAGTCTTTGCCCAAGACAGATAGCATGTTTCTGGGCATGCTCAAATAACATTTAAATGGGATGTAGTAGCTTTATGTAGAGGGGAAAAAGTAGGAAACTTCTGATCAGGAGATATATAGAAACCCGTGGGAAATAAAAGATTTCTGATGACATTTGGAAGACATTCTAGCATATATTATGCAGAACCTGTTTCCTCTCTTCCTAATTAGGTGTCTGCTCATCTTGTGTTGATAGCCTATTTTATATAGTCTGTTTTATGTGTAATTATGAATAAATGCATATACATATCATTTGTATGCAGGTAATTATATGCTGTACCTATAGCTTTTTGTACAGAATATTTTCGAAGCCCCAGCTGATATCCATAATTAGGGAAGAGTTTTCCAAATAAACACAGGTAGCAGATTTGACACTTGAGTCTTGCTTATGTTTGATATTATTTAACAATAATGTGCATATTATTAGTATTCTGCCTGAATCAAGTATGCTGTACTGAATCAAGTATGCTGTACTTTTCAGGCTAGAGTTTTAATCTTTTTTTAGATTATTTTAGTAGTTTTATTACTCTACAACACTCTGCTCTCTCTTTATGGAGCATTAAACTAGTAGTTACTTCCTTCATAATTGGATTTAGATGTCGAAATACCTGGCATATTTTTGGCCTTATTAATAAATTATAGTGCAGTGGGTCTTCTGCTTGCACATTTTTGGGTATTAGTCAAATGATCCCTATGTACCCACAGAAACATATTAAGATAAAGTTTTATATAATAAGGATGTCAGTGTAGTATATATGTATATGTATGTATGTATGTATGTATGTATGTATGTATGTATGAGAACCATCATGGTGTAATGCATAGTTTTCCAAGTTGCGCATCACAGCGTGAGTGTGTCGGCTGCAGTGTGTAGGCATATTGTGAGAATGTAGCAAGAAATTTAAAAAAATCTTGGAAATTTATGTTATTATCTTACCATATATTTTAAAATATATACCATAAATGAAAGATTTTCATGAGGTATTTTGTGTCCCTGTACCTTTCATTATTACAATTTATGTTTGTGCCCATACATCTTACAAGGGGTTAGTTTAACCTCCAGTTTGCTAATAAAGCCGAATTACTGTGTTGTGAAATGATGTATGTCTAAAAAGTGTATTGCCAATGTGGAATGTTAGGAAAGCTCATGTGTAATGGATTGAGTGTTGGATGATGACTCTGGAAACTGGGATTGTCACTTAGCCACTTCAGCAAGTCACACTCTCTCGGCCTCTGAGAAAGGTAAATACAACTCATCCCCACCCCCCAAAATCTTAACTAAGAAAACCCCCTGACAGATTTGCTTTAGAGTCACCCCCTACCTGTCCAGGGACGACCTAGCTACAGTGATCCAGGCCACGGTCATCTCAAGACTGGACTACTGTAACGCCCTCTACATTGGCCTCCCTCTGTCGGTGATTCGGAAGCTCAAGTTGGTACAAAATGCAGCTGCTCGGCTTCTTGCGGGAATTCTGATGAGATGCCACATAACACCAATCTTACTACAGCTGCATTGGTTACCAATTGAGCACCGGATCACTTTCAAAGTGATGGTACTCACCTTTAAGGCCTTGCATGGTCTGGGGCCGATGTACCTGAGGGACCGCTCACCCCCTACCAACCCCAGAGATCCCTCCGTTCTGAGGACCAAGATCTATTGGAAATTCCCAGTGTCAAGACCTTGCGTCTAACAGCAACCAGACGCAGAGCCTTCACAGCAGTGGCACCATCACTCTGGAATACTCTACCACCTGAAGTCCGTGCCTTGCGGGACTTACCAGCTTTCCGCAGGGCATGTAAGACATACCTGTTTCGACAGGCTTTTAATGTTTGATACTGTTGTTTTTAAATTGTTTTAAATTGCTTTTAAACTTTGTTAGATTTTAGCTATTCTTGTAAGCCGCTCCGAGCCCCAGGGGAGTGGCGGCATATAAGTTTAAATAATAAATAAATAAATAAATCAGAAGTACTTTAAGATAGACAGTCGCAATGCATTATGTGTGTTGATAAAGAGAAAATTGCCCTGAGGTGAGATTATTTCCAGCTGCACTACATTGACATTTACAAGCTCCACAACAGAAGGTATTGATCAAGTGTCTGTGGTGTGCTGGGTGAATTTGCAGAATGATATTTTTCAAACTTTCTGTAATAGAGAAGGTGGGGAAGAGGACATCCCCAGATGATAGTAGAGCTTATGTCTATTTAGTGAGATACTAGCTTTAAAGAAAATATAAGCAAGTGAGACATGAGGGCGTGAATCAGTGAATCACAGGTAGAACTCCCTGCCCAGTTTGATCTATTTAGTTGTAGTTTATATTTAATAATTTATGTGTATCTGTCCAATAAGTTATGATATAACATATTACATGAACAATATTCTGGCACTAGAGGGCACTATAATGCAGGTTGGAATGTGTTATATATTCTATAAGGGGTTATAGTGTTTGACCTAACAATGAAACATAAGCAACCCCCAAGCTATGAATTCAAAAATGTTTAAAGCCCTCCACCCTGGTAGTCTGAGAGCAATAGGGTTCAAAGCAGGAGAAATTACTTTTTAGAACAGGCTGGATAAAGTTGAACAAGCTTAAACTGAGTCCAGATAAAACAGAGATATTGGGAGGCTGACTGACCTCTATGGAGATCTTTTGCTTGTCTTGAATGAAGTTTCTCTCTGCTTGAGTGGCAAAGTTGTAAATTTGAAAGTGCTCCTGGTTTTAGAGATATAATGGAAGTCCAGATGTAATGAAGAAGTGCTTTTTATCACTTGAAATTCAAATGCCAACTTTGGCCCTGCATACATCAGCTAGGTCTGACTAACAGGCTTGTGTACGGATTTGGTTTGGTCAGTTCCCTTTGGCCAATTCGGCTTGTTTGGCTGACCGTAAAGGTAATTTTTTTTTGGCCAAAATGGGCCACGCGGAAGCCGGTCATGGGTCCTCTTCTCTTATTCGGCATCACGTGCCATGCAAAGAAGCTGCCATGTGCTCACACAGGATTTCCCCATGAGCCCTGCCTGTTGAGCCAATCAGAATAGAACACCGTGATGTGTCTTACGCAATTTGTTTAATTGGGCGAGTGCCTCCATTGCTCTCAGTTGCATCCTGGCTCAGTGGTGCTTCAGTCCAATTGCCTTGCCACAAACTCTCAGATTTATTTATTGGCTTGGCTGGGAAGAGAACCCCCCCCCCCAAATTGCCACCAGTGGGCCGTATCTAGCCGCAGTTTTTGGCTGCAGACCAAAAGGGCTGTTCTGCTACCTGCCCATTTTGGGGAGATGCGCAAAAATTGATCCAGGTGTGTCCCAAAATTCAGCCAGCAGAAACAGATTGAGGTTCAGCCGAAATACACAAGCCTACTGACCACAGTTCCTTACATACTGTATTAAGTCCACATTTGACTGCTGTAGAGCCCCCGGTGGCGCAGTGGGTTAAAGCACTGAGCTGCTGAGCTTGTTGATCAAAAGGTCGCAGGTTCGATTCCGGGGAGCGGCGTGAGCTTCCGCTGTCAGCCCTAGCTTCTGCCAACCTAGCAATTCGAAAACATGCAAATGTGAGTAGATCAATAGGTACCGCTCTGGCGGGAAGGTAACGGCGCTCCATGCAGTCATGCCGGCCACATGACCTTGGATGTGTCTATGGACAACACTGGCTCTTCGGCTTACAAATATGAGCACCACACCCCAGAGTCAGACATGACTGGACTTAATGTCAAGGGACTACCTTTAACTTTACCTACTGACCACAGTACCTTACATACTGTATTAAGTCCACATTTGACTGCTGTAGTGCATTCTGTATAGGGTTTCCTCTGAAGGTGACTTAGAAACATCAAGTCTTGCAGCAACTGCTGCCAATACTCCAGTTTTGCACCAGTAGCACTTGTCACCTTGTCTAATTCATGGTGCTTTTATGGGACTTAATCAGGGGTATGAAGCATGGTAGATGCAGGATGTATATGGCTCCCAAGGCTTTGTGGCCCTGGTTCCTCTTGAAGTCCCAAGGTTCCCAACTGCTCACTGGTGTGCTGTTTCAACTTGTTAGAGGTCCTGGTGGCCAAAGCCCATCTGAGATGGAGGTAACTTCAATGACTTAGATTGTACCAAACACTGTTTGGCTCACTGTCTGATTCAGTAGCCATTTGACGTGATAGGTATTATGATATTGCAACATCATATGAGAATTGCAATTCACACTTCCTTCCTTCATCACATCCCTACTATAACATGCACCATTTCTGTTAGATTAAGTACCTTTAATGGTTAATGGTTGATGTGTCTTGGCAAGATAATGAGATTTCTGTATCAATCGGAGTTGGATTTTCATCCTCTGGTGGGTGAACTTTGTGAGGAGGTTGAAAATAGCTACCTCTGAGGCTGGGTCTACACTGCACATAATCCAGTTTCTGAATCCAGATTGCCTGCTTTGAACTGGATTTTATGCATTGCAATATGGCCCAGTTCAAAGCAGATAATCTGAATTTAGAAACTGGATTATATGGCAATGTAGATGAGACCTGACCTCAAAGCTAGCATAGAGTAACTTCTACACTGTAGAATTAATGTTCTTTGACACACTTGGCTCAATACTATGGAATAATAGGAATTGTGATGTTTTAAGTTCTTTAGTCCTCTCTGCCAAAGAGTATTGGTAGCTCACCAAATGACAATTCCCAAATTCCCATAGCATTGAGCTATAGCAATAGCATTGAACTGTATTAATTTGACAATAGAGATACACCCATAGTTTGAGATGTATCCCACTAAGCATGTTTTCAGTAGGAATAAGCTCGGGTCTTGCCTACAGAAGCAACAAATGGTTCTTTTTGTACTCCTTAAATGCAAGTTACTACTTAAACGCATAAGCCTAGGAGCAGATCTGGCTATAGGCGTGCTGGTTTAATACCTATTCAATTGAAATTTGGGACTAATCTGAGATTTATGAGAAACAATTTGTTTTGTTGTTGTCCCAAAAAACAAAAATACTACCCTGAATTTTTTTTTGATCCCATGGTCTGATGTGTGTACTGTGTGATTACATTGTATTGGTATTGCCATGGCCAATGGCCAGTACAATTAATTTACTCATTTGGCAAGGATTAAATCTAGGCTGCATTTAGTGGGGTTTGTGTTCAAATTTAAGAAAGCACTTATATTGCCAAGATGGATAACTGTGATGCTGGGATCTGCATTATTTAATAGATTTGACATAAACTGCCTTCAACAGGATACTTTTCAAAACTGAGATCTGTCTTCTCTTAGGGTAGACTTCTTTATACCTGGGGTTGCTGTCGTTGGTGGATTCTCCATATGTTCAAGTCCTGGCCTGTTGGAACAAGAGGGAGTATTGGAACTTGCAGTAAAATACACAACACACCCTCCTGCTCATTGGATACACACTCAGGTATCTATATGGCACTTAATGGTCATAGTTTTGAAGAATCTACTTTGTTGTTGATTATCGTTGATATAATTGAGTGCTTTAATTAAACCTCTAAGTGGTTGAACTTGCTGACCGAAAGGTCAGCAGTTTGAATCTGGGGAATGGGGTGAGCTCCTGCTGTTAGCCCCAGCTTCTGCCAACCTAGCAGTTTGAAAACATGCAAATGTGAGTAGATCAATAGGTATCACTCCAGATGGAAGATAACAGTTCTCCATGCAGTCATGCCAACCACATGATCTTGTAGGTGTCTACCGACAATGCTGGCTCTTTGGCTTAGAAATTGGGATGAGCACCACCCCCGGAGTTGGACATGACTGGACTTAATGTCAAGGGAAAACCTTTTCCTTTATCTTTTTAATTACTGTAAATTACTTCAGGTAAATGTAATCATTTTAAAATTTAAAATCATTTTAAATAAATAAGTAGCTGAGTCCAAGACAGCATTACTCTAAATTTGATTTTATTTTTAAATATAAAATGTTAAGTAACATATACCTTAACATTTTGTATTTAAGAATGAAATAAATTTGATATTAATGCTGTTTTCTACCGCCATGTTTCTAATATTTTGTGATGAATGGTTCAAGGGAAGAGTAGGAATATTGTAAAAAAACAAACAAACAAACCCTGTAGAATAACCACACTTATCTTTTGCTAAAAGAATTGTCAATAAATGTTTTAATAAGACATATAGGTAAGGTACACATTCAATAAAAACATTAAATTAATTCAACCAGGAAGAAAGGACATCCTAGAGAGTCTGACCAAGGTATAAACTTGTATTCCTTTAAGTTGCACAAAAATGTTTGAAAACAAGCTGTGACTTGACTTGGAAATATTGTTTAGATGGCAGCCCTTTCTGTTATTAAATTCAGTAGGAGAGGGAAGAGAACACCATTGCAGTTCTCTAGAAGTACAAATTCGTCAAAAGGACAGCATTTTCATTTCCACCCCACTTCTGTGCTATTTGAGTTGAAAGAAATATGTTATGCTCACTGACATTCTATTTGTTGACTAGCAGCTCAGTGTAAAATCAATGCAGCCGTAACTCTTGAGCAATAAGAATCCCCGAGTGGCTCCTAACCCATCCATTACCATGTGACTGGAAAGAAGGGGCTCCCACTGTTGTTAAATAGGTTAGTTTCATGCACCATTGGAATTTCAATAAAACAACTCTCTTTGAAAGATGTTCTGGAGAGGTATAGAACCATCGTTGCTGGACCCCACATGCTAATATACATCCTAGTGAAGATTTCCTATTGATTCTCTGTTGCTCATTAGGGGCCTCTCAAAATGTAACCTCATAATTATCTGCCTTTGAGGCATCTCCTAGGAGTCTTCCTTCCTGCTTGCCTTCCCCTGTTTTATTTATTTATTTTTAAAATTAAATTCATAGTGTCACAGCACTGAAAACAGTTAAGAGCATTAGCCATTTCTAGGGACAGCATGTCAAGGTATCAGGAAGTGTCTTGTAAGAATGGATCCCTGGTATTATTTAGTAATATTAAGTATTTGCTGTAATTTTTAGAATAGCAATATGCAACCACAGAGAGTGAATATTTTCATTTGGAGAGATCACAAACCTATGCCGTTCTTGCACAAAATGAAGATATAATTATAGAATCACCATGAAAAATGTTAGACATTTCTACACCATGTGATCTTATTGCATGTTTTTTCTTAAATTATGTAAAGGAATGTTTTGTATGTAGTTCTGACTCTCTTAATAAAGAGCTTAGTCACAAGTTAGCCCTCTGTATCTATGGATTCTGCATCCATGAATTCTACCAACCACAGCTAGATAATATTCAGAGAAAAAATGACTTAATTTTGTCATTTTATATGAAGGACACAATTTTACTACCTCATTGTTTGTCATGGAACTTGAGTATCCACATATTTTTATATTTACGGGACCAAATCTCAGCAGATACTACGGGCCCACTGTATATTGTGCTTTTTTTGTCCTAAATGGCTTTGCTTATTGTACATACTTTGCATGTTTTATTTTTTTTAAGGTACTGTATGTACATATATATTATTGTTACGTCTTCAAGTCATTTCTATCACAGTGTTTTTCCTTGGCAACGTTTGTTCATTGGAGTTTGCCTAGGCTTTCCTCTTAGGCTGAAAGAGTGTGACTCACTCAGTGGGTTTCTTGACTGAACAGGGATTTGAACCCAGTTTTTCATCATCTTAGTCCAATATTCAAATCACTTTACCATGCTGGTTCTCCATAACTTTATATTAGATACTGGAAAACTATTATAATGCCACTTTAAAAAAAAGCCTAATGATCAATCTTGTTTTAAACAGAAAAAATGCCCAAAAAGCCACTTTCAGGTAGTCAGTATATACTAATTTGCACATTTATTAATTATTTAAAGAATTTATGTGCTTTACAGCCTTCAAGGGCCCCTGAGATGCTGTACAACAGATAAAATTTTATTTAAAATTGAAAATGAAACAAATATAGCATTAAAACAAAGAGTTGTGAAAAGATGCATTAAAATATTTGAAAAACCACGAACTGTTAAAATAGCAGGACAGCCATTCCTGACTTTAAGGACGAAAGGCCGTGAGGGAATAATATAGACTCAATTGCCTGCTAGAAACTCAAAAGGAATGAAGCCATCCCCGTTTTGCTTCAGAGGGAATTCCACAGCTGGGTGTTGCTACAGAACGATAATGTGAAAAATTACATAAGGATAGATATTTGATAGAAACTTCTTGATTCTGATATTTTCAAATATTTGAAATATGGCCTGTTGATTCAGTGGAAATCTGCTATAGTCCATTGATATAGTGGGCTCTCTTGTGTAATTAATACTTAAATTTAGCCTGGTATATTTGGTATAGATATTTATGGGCATGTTAAGGCAATCCTGTCTCATTTGGAAAGGACTTTCTAAAATGCAAGTTGCATAACGGAGTCCTGTAGTAGTCTATTTTTTAAAAAAATGAAACAGTAATGGCAACCTGTCTGCCCTCTGCCTGATGGGTACTCTCACGCCACCAATGGCAAGCCCTTTGGGGCAGCAAGCCATCACGGCCATGACTCCCAGCTAGAGAGATCGAGCAGATGGACTCCATACCTCCCCTCTCCTTAGGCGATGAGCAACACAAGACTCCTACTGCAACTCTGGAAGAGACTACATCCCAGGGCCATCAGGGTCTGACACCCCCCCCCCCCACCTCCGTTGCCCAGGCCCTCCCAACATCTAGGAGCTTGAGACCTCCATCTCATGGTTGCTCTCAACACACACGCCATGAGGGCTACTATTGCCACAATTTGAGGGACCATTTGCCTTTTAATTAGTTTTTTTTTTAATTTATATTAACTAGATCAGGGCTTCTTAAACTTTTCCACTTGGGACTCCTATCAGCCTGAAAAACGTTTACATGACCCCAGGTATGTAAATATATAAAATAGGTATAAGATTTACTAATAACAAATTAGCATTTGCAATGCTTGCTAAACAAGCTGATTTTCCTTTTTATGAAGTACAGCTAAAGCATCCTTTGCAGAGTGCACTGCACAACAGTTTTGTGTAAATGGCTAAAACAGCCACTAGGTTGTATTCAGAAAGTTTTTACTGTTGTCAAATTTTTCTCAACCTCAACACTGAGCTCAGGAGACCCCATTTGGGGTCGGGACCCAAAGTTTAAGAAGCAGTGAATATTTACTAATATTTAAACAGGTGACCCACATGGTTCTGATCTGTATCATTCTGCATAATTTGACTTCCTTGGATTTTTCTGTCCCTTCAGCATTTCCTGTGACTGCAATTGCTAACAAGAGTAGGTGCCATCTACCTGCAACAGCTGTAAAGATAATAATATACAAGAGTTTTGTAGAAGAACTTAGAACAGCCTATCCTCTTATTGAAATCTATTGTAGCTTCATTTCTTCCCACATACTTAACATCCTCTTGGGTATATTCTTCTAAAAATAAATGGCCGCTCAGTTCCCTGGACCTTATAATCCCTTCCTTGAACTCCCAGCGTCTTCTGTTGAACATCACACTTCCTTTGTTTTAGGCTTTTATCGTGGAATCAGCGGAAGAATGTAACTGTACCCTGTTATCGCTCAGAGCAATCTGCCAAATGAAATTCTTAACTTGGGAGAATGTGTGTATTAGACTAACCAAATTTCTTCTTCTCCACTGGGATACATATGACCTTCTAGTGGGACACTTCAGGGGTTTTTTTTTGTCTTCATTATGTGTTGTTGGTGTGTGGTGTGCAACTCTTGAATAATGCCCATATTCCCTTTTGCTTTCTTCTCCTCTCTTAGTGTACCCTTGACTCAGAGGTGGCTTTACGGGTTGGAGGCAACTTCTTCTTTGATCCCCAGCCAGCTGACCCTCCTGCAAACCTGGTGCTTATAGCTGGTGGAGTTGGAATTAATCCTTTGTTTTCTATACTGCTCCATGTCGCAGACCTGCATAGAGCACGAGCAAGTAAAGAAACTGGGTACAAGATGGGAACAACAAATCTGTTCTACTGTGCCAAGAACACACATGAACTACTCTTTAGAGTAGGTAAAATGAAATTAGCATTTATCTATTTATCTATTTATTTATTTATTTACCGCGTTTATATACCGCCTTTCTCAGCCTGAAGGCGACTCAAGGCAGTTTACAGCTGGCACAATTCGATGCCCACAGCAACATAAATACAATTATTTGCATTCATGCTAGGTGTTGCAACATCACAGAAGGGAACAGAGTCTGAGCAGAGACACTAGCTTTTGTTAAAAGAGTTGTTAATTCTGAGTTGAAACAACCATATTTGAAATACCAATCCAAGGGCCACCTAGTAAAACCCATGTTTTACTAGGTGGCCCTTCCTTTGTCCTCCCTGATAATTCTAACTCCCATGCTCCTTATTATAGGCACAATGTAGCCTATGGACTGTGTGCAGAGTCCTGTAGGACCCTTTTATGACCTCAGGTTCAAAATATTTTTTCACCTTCAAATATCCTATAGGGCAGTGGTCCTCAACCTGTGGGTCCCCAGATGTTTTGGCCTTCAAATCCCAGAAACAGGTGGTAAACCTCCTGGGATTTCTGAAAGTTGTAGGCCAAAACACATGGGGACCCACAGATTGAGATCCACCACTATAGGGGATATGGTGGGAGTTTTCACTATTTGTTTGTGGCTCTCTAGGCCTAATTGGAGATGCTATAGTTACAGGTTTTGAAATAGGAAGTGAAACAAAAGCCACCTTTGTTCACTCCCTATTTTTTTTTTAAGTCTAAAAACATGACAGAAATTTTCTCATCCCTCTTAAAAGGTGTTTCAAGGACATTTTTGTGGAGTGTGTGGTAGATGACCTTTTGAGGGTTACAGCCCCCTTGTTGCCTTCCATAGTTGCCCACCCTTGGTGTAGGCCATAGTATTAGGATTTTTTGAGAGTTATTTTTTGAGAGAAAGATATCTAGAATATCAGAGGTGTTCCAGCCTCTGGTCTAAGTCAATTACTACTACTCTCGCATTTGAAGTTTTGTTCTAGAAGCTTTGGCCCTTTTAGATGTGTAAGAGAACATATTCATTTGAAATTTTCCATCTTCTTTTTCCCCCTGCCATTGCCAGGACAGAAATGTGTTTTCTCTCTTCCCCACCACATCTGTGCATAACGTTAGCTGTGTAACGAAGAGAAGCATTCACATGCCTGGGGTTGGAAATGCGTCATTACCCCTCAAATACGTATTTGGACCATTGAGCTCCATTACCTCGATCTGAAATAATGTTTTAGTTTTGGGGGAAGAGACACTTCCACAATCCTCCTCTTAAGGAGATAGTACTGCATGTGCTGTATCCTCTTTCTGTGGGGCTGGGAGTAGGCATAGATCACATCTGGTTTGATTTATTTGCCTGTGGCATGACCAAATCTCCTTCGCATTCCAGAAGCATATCCTTGGCTTGACAAATGCCTTTCCTGAGAAGATTGCATGCAGTTTCCATGTTACCCATCAGAGTTTACCCATCTGTGAGAAACTGCAGCCTTACATCAAGGGTGTGTATTGTTGTGATACATGCAAAAAAGTAAATAAAAGCATGATGACATTGTGATCTATGATTTCAGGGATAAGTTGAACAGAATGTAAGTGAATTTAATTATGTGAGCCTGTTTTGTTATCCATAGTAAGCTGTAAAGCATTCAAGAGGAATCATGTGGTGGGCTGGGCAATCCTCTGTGTGCTTACTCAGAAGTGAGTCAGAGTTCACTCTCACATGCTTGTACATTAGTTTTGCAATCATCATACACAAAAAGTTGTTGTTTTTCAAATATATTAGATTGCTTTCTTTGTTCTTTTTCCGACTCCTAAATATTGTTTAGGACCTATGTTCCTCTTTGTCCCCCCTGCCATACAACTACATCTTCCTTAAGTAAGTGATTTTGTTTCACCTTTTATTCTGTTACCACATTTAAAACTTCTGGGACACGGCAGGATTGATGATGGGAAGTTACCATCAATAAGAATTGATTAAAAGAGTAAATCTAATAAAGATTTCAGGAAAACTCTAGCAAAATATCCCCAACATCTGAGAAGGATTTAGATTCTGAAACATGAGTATTCCCTCCTTTTTCATTAATTTAATTACATTTTTATTTAAAGTCTCATGAGATATTTTTTTTTACTTTGTGTATTTTCTATTAGAGGGAAGAATATCTGGAAATGATCTAGAAGAATGCATCTCCCAGGATACTTTATGGTACATCTGTGGCCCTCCGCCAATGATAGAATTTGTTGTTAAACTACTGGAAAAGCTCGGTGTGGCTCAAAAGAATGTTTTCTTTGAGAAGTGGTGGTAGTGTTTTTGGCATGGAACAGAATGAAGATAATGTGTGAGTCTCCGTAGGTGAACGTTCTGGTTAATGGTGAGAATTTACAGAAACTGAACACTTCCATATGCGCAGATTATTAAATTTCTGTATTAAATTATGTAAATTATTTAAGGCTCTGTCAAATGATATTGAAAAAATAAATGCAGTTCATTATATATGGCAGGCATTTATATGTAATTCACCCAACTGTAACTTTTCGAAAGTAAATATTATATTTCTTTAAGTATTTTGTTTGTTGAATTTTTGTTTACAAAAATGACAGAAATGTAATAGTATATGATGGACATAGGGAGATTTTTTTTTCATGACAGAAGCAACTTGAGAAACTCCAAGTCGCTTCTGGTGTGAGAGCATTGACTATTTGCAGGGATGTTGCCCAGGGGACACCCGGATGTTTTACCATACTGTGGGAAGCTTCTCTCTTGTCCCCGCATGGGAAGCTGGAGCTGACAGATGGGAGCTCATATAGGTGATAAACATGTTGTTTTCTCCTGTGTTCACCCCAACTGAAGGCACAAGACCTGTGTAACTTGTTCTTTACACAGTGGAGAGGAGTATCAGTAAATTGTACAAGCATAACTGTGGCTATCCATCCTAACCAGCGGATTAGATTCAGACGCAGCTGGTACAACTCACTTTCCTCAGCACCTCTGAAAATGCTACTTTTGGGATGGTGGGCTTTGTAGTCCCACACCAGGAGAGCACTAGGCTACAAACTGTTGTGCTAACATATCCTTTATGGCATTGAATGCATCTAGAAAAGGTAAACAAAACTGCTATGTTATTTTATATTTATTATTAGTAATTAATTAAGAAAACTATATTGAGGCCACCAAAAGGTACTAAATAAACTAATGCTTAAATATATGCCTAATCAAACTTTATGATTTTTTATTAACCTTAGTCTGCTAATATAGGACCATGTTATTTTTTTCACTTGGCAAGGAAGTTAACTTCTATCAGTTGTCATGTTCAGTTTTGTGGGAAAAAGGGAAGGAAATGTTGTTACAGGAATTCCGTTTGCTGCGGCCTAATGCTTTGACTTCCCTCTGTTACATAATTCACTGTCACGAGTTTGGATGATCACTAGCTGTTGGTGGCCTTGAACTGCTGAATTAAGACAAATTGGTGGAATAAAATAAAATACAAAATCTGCGAGCCGTGATATCCTTTTTGGGCCGACTCCAAAGCATAAAATAGCATCATGTAAGCGTTTAAAGCTTAATTGGGTTCTTCACCAAGCAAAGTTAAGAATTATACAGAAGAAATGTTGTGATAATTTTAGAGTCACAGACCTACATTCTGTCTGAGATGTTCTTAGTTATTATGGTATTCAGGGATTTCACTGCAGGCAGAGGTCACCTCCTTATTGGACCCATGAGAAATAGAGATAAATGCATTAAAAGACAGTTGCAGAATGTATTTCAAACTTTGGAGATGGCCCCCAAAAGGGGTGTAATTGCTTGTGGGTTTTGTACTTAGTGGTATTATTGCTGCATATCCAACACAGCTATCCCTGCACATTAAAAAAAATCAGGGATATAGTTTTGGGGGGGGGGGGGGGGGGGGGGGTTTGTCATGTCAGGAGCGACCTGAGAAACTGCAAGTCACTTCTGGTGTGAGAGAATTGGCCATCTGCAAGGACATTGCCCAGGGGACGCCCGGATTATTTGATGTTTTATCATCCTTGTGGGAGGCTTCTCTCATGTCCCCGCATGAGGAGCTGGAGCTGATAGAGGGAGCTCATCTGCCTCTCCCTGGATTCGAACCTGCAATCTGTCGGTCTTCAGTCCTGCCGGCACAGGGGTTTAACCCACTGCGCCACCGGGGGCTCCAGATTGATATTTCCTGAGAAAACCTATTAATTGTGATTGTGATGGCAGCCATCAAATCCGAGGTTAATATTTGGGGAAACAACAGGATAAGGTAGTTGCTTTCATATCTTGCTTATGCATGTTTCTAGATTTTTTTCTGGTTGGTAACATAGAAAAAAGAGTGCTGGATTGTGCCCGCAACACAAATTGCTTAGCCATTTGTTTCAGTTCAGCCCTTCATCCCATCCTCTTCTACTGTAGCCTTTGTCACAAAAAGCAATGCAGCTGAAGATTTTTCATGCAGGGAAGATCCTGAGTAGTTGTGTGTTTTTTGGCCTGTGTAGCCATGTTCCAGAAGCATTCTCTCTTGACGTTTCACCTGCATCTATGGCAAGCATCCCCAGAGGTTGTGAGGCCTGTTGGAAACTAGGAAAATGGAGTTTATATATTTGTGGAATGTCCAGGGTGGGAGAAAGAACTCTTGTCTTTTTGAAGTAGGTGTGAATGCAGCAATTGGTCACCTTGCTTAGTATTTAATGGCCTAGCAGTTTTCAAAGTCTGGTGTCTTACTGGCTGGGGAAATCTTTTGCTGGGAGGTGATTAGTTGGCTCTGATTGTTTCTTGTCTGGAATTCCCATTTTTGAGTGTTCTTTATTTACTGTTATGATTTTAGAGTTTTTTTTTGGTTTCCAACAGACCTCACAACCTCTGAGGATGCCTGTCATAGATGCAGGTGAAACGTCAGGAGAGAATACTTCTGGAACATGGTCATACAGCCCAGAAAACACACAACAACCCAGTGATTCCAGCCATGAAAGCCTTCGACAATACAAAGATCCTTGATTTTCTGAATTACTTGTTCACGGTCTCCATGTAAACAGGCCTTCTGGGTGAATGGTATATAGAATGGTATAGATTCACAGTAGAATGGCTTCCTAACTAGAGGCCATGTACATTAGGTAGGGTTCAAAAAACTGGCTTAAGGCTTAGTATCAAAGTAGTGTTGCATCTTTTTAAGGTCACCCATCTCTTTGAACATTTGTGGATAATTCATTGAATGGTGGTAATATATTCTCCTAGTCTTGGTTGAACAGTATGGAAGGAGAAGAGCTCATCAGCTCAAATCAAAACCTAATAAAAATAGAAATGGAGCAATCTGAGTTGCTTCAGATGAGTTAAAAGCTAGTAACAGAGCCCCTTTTTGCTTACACATTCTACCATTCTGGCGTCAACGGCAGCCTTAAACAGGAGTGTCTACTTTCCGCTCCTAGGCAATCTATGCAGGGAGAATTTATTCCGACAGCATTAGCTCCCTGTGATTCAACGGAGTCAGTGTGTCAGCCCCCTTCTTTGAGTGAAGGGATTGCTTGGCTCACTGCAGAGCACACAGGGAGTGGAGCTCTTGTCAACTTGCATAAATATTGAGGATGCCTTTTTTCTTTGAAATGCCAATTCTGATCTTTTTAAATTCTCTGAGCCGGAGGGAATTAATCTTCTCGAAAAGGCAGATTATCTGTGACAGTAGCAGTGTCGGGCCTCAAGTGGAACTAGAAACCAGTGTTCTGTAGCAGCTTTTGAATGCAACTTTTGCCTTTACCTATGATTTTTAAACAGTTGAAAGAAGATGATGAATGATGGGTGGCCCTTTTAGGGTACAGGGAGTGCAATTGTGAATGCAGGAATTAATGTGTTGCCCTGTTTTCTTCCACAATGTCAGCAAATACACATCTAGAAGTCCCCAGGCTTTTTGCTGCAGTCTTGATCCCTCCCTCCATATTCTGTCTCCTGTTGTTCTGTTGTCTTCTCCTGACAGTCATGTCTTTTTTTTAATTGTAGGATGTTGCACACACCTACAGTGCTGCAAATTGTAACGGCAAGGAACCCCTTGAACAGGCCCAGGATTCAAAGTGTATTAATTTAGAAAGGAATCCTTATCTTGTGGATTTCAGCCCTTCTATAATCAGTAGAACTTATAATAACGTGAGTACTTCAAACAAGGTGTTGAAATCCTCATTTCAACTGAACTACTTCCTCTGAAGAAAGTAGAACTATCCTCATCCAATTGCAGCCCTGTATTTTATTCTCCAGGCTCCTTACTAACTAGCTAATTTTTACATTGATGATTTACTTATTAGCCTTTAGGAATTCCTTAATATGTCTTATTTGTAATGGTATTTTTTTTTAAAAAAAGGAAACTTCAGAGAAGTTTATAATTCATTTGATGTCAAACCTCCTTAATGGTATTGGATGCATGATTATTTATGCAAGCTAGTATTGTGCCTGCTCATTTATCCTAAAGCAGAAACCTAAACAAGGTGCTTCATTAATACACACACACACAGGCATTTCTATCAAAATCAACTTTGATATTTTTAAATTAAAAAAACCCTGACAAAGATCCTCACTGAAGTAGAAACTCCTGTTCCCAAAGATGAAAACAGCGGATGCTTTTGTGCCTCCTCCCAAGTGTCCCATTGAAGATTTCTGGTGATTGAAGTAACCTCATGCTATTTATTCATCTAACTCAGAGTGAGTGTTTTGAGGTATTGCTGTCAATATGGTCCCAGCATGGATGGTGTGCATCTGTCTTGGTAGCAAGTTGCCAAAAAGAAGGGGGAAGAGTATGTTTCTCATAAAGTTTTAAAAGTACCATCCTTGTAATGAAAGATTCATGTATTCTGTAAGATAACTCCATAACAGAATGCAGTGATTTTTTTACACTATAATCATATACACATTTGCTCAAAGGCAGCACTGAGTCTATTGAAGCTTACCTATAGTTGCCATATATAGTGGCATATATTTTCTGACTGAAAAGGCCATTGTATCAGAGGTTAAAGTATATTATCAGGACTGGTTGTGTCATTTATTTGTAAAAGGGGAAACATGATGTTGCCTGATGCTGAATCTTTAATATGCCTGCTATTATTTGTCCTAATAACTTAAGTAAAATTGTGCGGGGAATTGAGAGTGTTAGCGTAGTGCGTGAAGATTTCAGCATTTTACCAGGACTCCAGGAGGCAAGGGTTTGAATCCTTGCTCAGTCACACCAACTAAATAAATGACCTCGGGCAAGTTGCACTCTCTGACTTAGCAAAAGGCTATTACAAACCTCCTTTGAATATATCTTGCGAATAAAATCTTTGTTCTTGGCTCCTTTTACGAAGAGACTGCTCAATGGCACTAAGTTACACCAAGGAGTTTAAAAAAGAAAAGAATAAAATCTGCTGGAGACTCCAAGACATTTCTTATGTACCTTCAAGTCAACTCCAAGTTACAGTGGCCCTATCATAAGGCTGAGCCCCTAGTGGTGCAGCAGGTTAAACCACTGAGCTGAACTTTCTAACTGAAAAGTCAGCAGTTCGAATTCAGGGAGTGGGGTGAGCTCCCACTGTTAGTCCCAGCTTCT